TTAAGCTTAATACGGCCACCTAAAGGGCTGGAGCAAGAAAGTCAGGATCTTACTATGGTAAAATGTAATGTGGGTGATTGCCTCTGCTATTTGTAAATTGCATTTTATAATTTAACCAACCGGATTTTTGTTAACTGGAGTGTTAAGGTTCTAAAACATGGCTTTAGCTTAGATTAGTAATTCTACCAAAATTGTACAAAAAAAAAACAAAACAAAACAAAAAAAAAACTACATATTATTTGCATATAAGATAAAAATCGTTGTCTGTCAAGTGAAAATGTTTCGGTTTCACCTGGTTTAATTTTGCAAAAAGTCTTCTTTAAGGAATCTTTTGCTATCCGATTATTAATAAAAAATAATCTGCAGTTTAATCGATTAGCAAAATAGTCCTAAACGGAATGTTTGATGAATATCAAAAGGATTTTAGGGGTAAATTCTTGAAGAATTATAAAAAAGAACAGTAAATTCAACAGACCCTGGATGGCCTAGTCCAAGTTCATTTCCCAGTGAACATGTTGGGGCTTTAATTGACACAAGAATGCAGGAAACTCATCAAATCTTTACAGATTTCTTTTTACAAACATTGCTGCCAAAGGCAGGAAAGCTGATTATAATCATATTCAGTGCTGCTTCTATGAAATATATGATCTCCCTCTTTAATTTTCATCAGAACTCTGGTTGCAGCATTTTGGATCAGCTTCCTGATAGTAAAGGATTACAATAGTCCAGCCTTGAAGCAACAAATGCATGGAATAGTTTCTCAGCATCACCCCTGGACAGGATATTTCTAATTTTCTAAAGTCAGAAGTAAGTTTTTTACCTTTTTTTTTTTTTTTTGAGAGGGAATGATATTTTGCTCTCCTGGCTTTCTTTGATGGCCTTCTCTGATTCAAACTTGGCTTTATTATATATTATACTTCTTTAAGGAAAATCTGATTTTGAATTGGCACATGAGGGTTTTTTGTTTTGTGTTTTTGCATTCTGATAAGCTTGAGGAAGCAGCAGAATATTTGTTGTTATTAAGCATCATAACATGATTTCTCTGTGGTTATTGTCTGTCTGATGTGGATGAAACTCCAAGTTGTTCCCCTCATTCATAAATTAAGAGCTTTGCTTCTAACATCTTAATGACTATGACAGGTGTCTCCCATATGGCTGGTGGTCTGTAGTGAAGCAGAGCCTCAGCTGAGTGGGTGGTATAAATTGCCACTTAACGAGTTGGTTCCTCTTCTGCTGATGGTGGCTTTTGCAGCTGTCAAGTCTTTGCTCAGATGCTTTGCTTCCCCCAGCAGGTCAAATTGTTGGAGTGTAGACACAGTGGCCTGGAGGTTTGTCAACATTATCCACTTCATAAATGTACCCACACTAAGGCAGTGGTCAGTGCTGACTTCCACCCCAATGGTGGTTTTTAGTGCCTTTAGTTTAAATACTTCAAATTTTGCCATTGACTCTTCATTAAAATGGAGTCTTTTTGTTGCATGTCTTTTTTTGTCTGTTCACCACTGTGCCTGTGGTTTTGTTCTTGTTAAACTCTGCAGACGCATTTGCATCACAGGTGCTCCTGGCCACGGTTTATACTTCACGTTGCCAGGCTGGGATTTAGAAACGGGGATTGAGGTAGATGGAGAGTAAACACAGCTGGCTATCTTTTTCTCACTGTGTTTTCCGTCCTGTTGCTTTTATGCATTTCAAAGTGGTGATGGTCAATTATTTACTAATAAATAATTACCTGGTGTTGATAAAGAGCCTTCAGGCTATTTTGTTTTATATGAGCAGTGCAGCTTCATTCAACATAACTATCTCAGAGCATCCCACAGCTCCTCAGATTCTGTGAATTCAGGTTTATTTACATGGCGATGAGATGTTTACTCTGTCGTCGTCCTTCTCCCCTCCTCCTCCTTCCTCTGATTAACCCTCGTACTGCATGCTGAGCCTCAGTGTTTCCTGTTTGGGAGGAGGAGCACCCAGAACAAGCAAGTTGGCCCGCCGCCTCGGTGAGACTGAGAGAAGCAGAGAAAGAAGTAGAGAGCAAGGGTGGCAGAGGTCCAGGTCTGTGGGCTGAAGTGACTCATAGCTTACGGTAAAAGCTGCTGCTTCTCTCCACCCCTCTGTGGCAGCCCAGCTCGGCTCTGCTTTTGCTCCCTGTGTGTCTTTGAACTGACGTGTTGCAGTGGGATAGGGACAAGTCTGCTTTTCTGACTACAGACAGACAGACAGTGGGGAGCTTCATTGCAATTATATGGAGTTTTCTATAAGCCTGATGCTGTCTGGGTTGCATTGCTTCTCCAAAAGCATGTAATATGGAGCGTTAAGGCTGGTTTATGCTCAGAAACCAGGTCGTGTGTGTCGCAGTTAACGCAGATATACCCCGTTACTTCCTCAGACACTCTGGTGCACCTCTCCAAAATTGTAGGTGACCGCAGACAGTGCCACAGACAGGAGGCCTCTGATTGGTCAAATCTACATCAGCTCTACTCTATGCGTATTTCCTGTTTGGTACCTTACCGACTGGTTTTGTTTGTATGACCGCCATTGTGGAAAATGACTCGTGAAGATGGACCAGCTAGAAGAGCGAGGTGTGTGAGAACGCTGGGACCCTTTTTACACCTCATGTCCCTCCGATGTTGCACAAAAATGCCCCCATTTCCTCACCGCCTTGGCGGTATCTAGACTCACAGCTAGTTCGTCATTGTCCCTCTTGCGTTGTGGCATGGAATAACAGCGCAGACCATGCTTCAAAATTAAGCATAAATCTAAAATATCTGCAACAAGCTCACTGCGACTCACTGCTGCGGGAGCATACACCCTTTAGTCGTACAGGTAAATCTCAGCTCAGTCACATCCTAATCACACAGAAACAAGAATGATTGCTCCCTCCTCTCTTTGACCCAACCGTGACATTTAACTGTAGGAACACACTGGCTGCATTCATAGACCTGCTGTCCGCTTTTCTCTCCCTCCTGACTCTGTATTTCATTATCCGGTTATGTGTGACTTTCTTTGAAAGCCATCCTGATAAATCTATCCTGTGTGTGCCCATGTGTATGTATGTGTGTGTACAAACGTACACAAACATTTCCTTCCCCTCCAGATGACTGGGACTCGTGTGTTAAAAAGTAACGACCTGGTCTGTAAGAGTTGGGGTCTGTTTTTGCCAACATTTCAGAAATTATATCTTCTTAAATATGTCCAAGTAGCTCCATTTTAGTTTAAGACATTAACAAATGTTGTTTCTTGCATCATGTCTGTTTTGGCAATTAGTAAGCTGAGCATTCAGATCTTGGTTTTAGGGGGATGTTTTATGTTGTTTTGTTGACATGGAAAATGCTTTTTGTGGTTTAAAAACAAACAAGAACCTAACTCTGTCCATCACACTGAATGCATCATCTACACAGTGAGGCACGGCAGTGGCAGCCTCATACTGTGTGGGCATGCTTTTCTTCAGCAGCTTACTGATGATGTGAAAATGGATAGAGCTAAAAACATGTTATGATGGAATGGCTTGAAGCCTTGAATCAAGTCCTTCTAGCATAAATAAATTAATATCGTTTTTGTTCAAAAGTTACATGAGAAACCTTAATTCCTCTTATCATCTTCATTAGTTTCCTTTAGTGGCTTCTCTCGTCTTTGTTTAACTCTTAGCTTTTAATGTGTTTGTGGTGTTGCTGAAAGAATTTATGGCTAAACCCTTTTTTTTATTTGTGAAACACTTTTGTTTATGGCTTGTAAAAATAATTTACAAGTTTTATATACCAGCAGGCAGCCGTTGATGCAACAGAACAACAAAAGGACTTCTTAGAGTAAATAGGTCTTGCTGTTTGTAGGAGCTGTGCAGCTAATGTGCTAAAAGCTTATCTGCTGGAGAAGAGAGTATACATGCATGATGGAGTTGATGTGCTCTTTAAGTCTGCTGATGACGCTGTAAAAGAGCCTTGGGAATCCCCTCAAAGAGGGCTGGGATGTCTTGTGATGTGATTAAACATCAGCTCTGTGTTAACCACAAATGTTCGACACTCACTCTCTCTGTTTTTCTGTGCTGGCTGCTTTTCTCTCTGTTTTTTCTCCTCCGACTTTGTCTGCAAAGCCTGGTCTTCTGTGACGCACGAGTTCTCCTTTTCTTTTGCCAATATATAAAAACAACCCAACTTGCTCACATTCTGACTAGCCCTAGGGTGGGTGGTATTAGTCAGCCCACACAGACTGCTCTATAGAAATGGCAATCTTCCAGCGATTATAGACTTTCTCCAATGTTGCATTTTTCTTCTTTTTGCATAGGTAACAATCCATATCCTAGGGCACTTTAAGATAACATAGTATAAAGAAGGGAGCTATTTTTAGGCTTGCATGCTAAAGACAGGTTTTGACCTGGTTTATCGCTCAGAGGAAGAGGAAAGATGGGGGATACAGAGAAGAAAATATGACGTCTAGATGGGTTAGATCTTCATAGGACGGGTTGTCCTTAACTTTTGTAATAATAAAAAATTAGACTAGTAAGGCCAAACGAATACAAAGAAAACAAACGGAGCAATTTACGACATACAAATTTCAGTAAATATATTCATATCGCTGGACCGCAAATTTTATATTGTTTTTTTTATATATTAAAAGACACAAAACTGTTCCGCACTATAAAGTGGAAGGTTAAAGGATGATTTACATTTTCTTATGAATAAGGAAGTGTATATATAATGTATAAAAATATTTATATGTATATATAATGTATATGCTCTCCATTCACTCCATCTCTGAATTTTGCAGAAAATTATATCCGTACAATTTTAAAGTTGGTACAAACTAGAAATGCAAATCTTTCGGTGTCCGGTTTTTAACATGAAATTTATAACTATTTAGCAAAAGCTAAATATATGCATTCATTCCAGGTCCTCCCACAGATACAAACAATCCAGTCCAATACTCCACTCAAACACAGCAACCATCTCTCTGGAAGCTTGAGCAGCATTTATCACATAGCTGGTGATTTGTAAAGTGTCTAGGCTGACCTGTGGGCAAGTTGGCTGAGGAGGAAGAGGTACAGGATGGAGAGGGGTTGATGGCTACTGTTGGTGCTGCAGATTCACTAGTGTCGGGATGTCCCGTGGTAAGGAGAGGCAGGGTCCCGGGGGGCAGAGGCTGACCCCTCTTCAAAAGCTGCTTCTGCTCCTGCTGGCGGAAGCGTGGGGGCACCTCTCTGGGCAGGTAGCGCTGCTGCTGGAGCAAAGTCTGCGGCTGCTGTGCTGTCTGCGGCTGGCATACGGAGGGGGTGCGCTTCCCATTTCCACTGCTCTGGGGTACGGATGGGATGGCACCGGGGTTGGCGGGGAGAAGAGGAGGGATGGGGTCGGGCTTGGTAGAGTCTGGCACTGTGGAAGTGGGACAGGGAAAGGGCAAGTTAAAACAAGGGAGTGTGAATAAGGGATGAGGGAGTTAAAGGAGCATTAAGCATGAAAAGTGCAGCTGAGCACTTTCTGGTGTTAGGATAAACAGATTTGTCATCTTTGAACAGAAAATACAAAGACTGGCTATAGCAGAACTGCTTACTGTTTTTTTTTTTATTTGATTTTAAACATTTCATAAAAATTGAAATAGAACTGAATTGTAATTGTACATGTATACTGTTTAGTAATACAAAGCCATTCTGAACTTTTTACAACCTAAAACATCCAAATAGTCATTGGGATTTGATGTATTAGATTGACAGAAATTAGTACAACATTGTTAAGAGGGAAAAAAATGGCTTGCAAAACAAAATGCTTTGATTTGAATGATTTCTCCCCATTTCTGGCTCTATATTTTACTTTGCTCCATTCCTTTTCCAAACCACTCTTACGAGCTACACTTCCCATGTTCAAGAAAAGCAAACCCCAACATAATGCAGAAACCAGTGTGTTCACCATGAGGTATAGTGAATTGAAAATGTGCTTTTACATGTTTAACTAAGAAATTAGTGTCATTGCAGTAAAGGACATCTTCCTATGTGTTTGGTTTGCTCTAAATAGCTTTAATACAAACTGCAAACACAAATTTTAATGGCTACTTTAAGGCAGCCACATTTACACTACCCTTTTGAAACCATGCCGAGATCGGTTCGAGCATGGTAACCACATAACTGTTTAGTGTAAATGGCATGCAAAAGTGAACTGGACCGCGCCAGACACAACCGCGCTAAACTGGTACTAGTTCATCAGAAGTCTTGGTGCGGTTCACTTCTGGTTCAGTTGTCAGATAACAAAGAGCACATGAGCAGATCCTGTCATCTCCTTACCGTCAGCCTCCATAATCATGAAATTTCAGACATTCATAAAAATACTCGCTTCCCTACCATCCCACAGGATTTCCAGTGATGATTTTGCTTAGCAGTGTGATGAACCTGAACATCTGTTGTTGTTTCCTACATCTGTAAGCCATAATTAGACTATCGTTTGTCGTATCCATTTCCCAAAAGCGGACTCTTTCAAGTATATTCACCAAAGGCTGCCTTCTTTGCTTAATTCTCCACAAACAACGAAATATCACAATTATAACCAATCTTTCTGAATGTCACGGGTGCCGCCATGCTGATTTGCTAGTTTGCCTCTAGGGAGCAGTAGTACCATTGATCGTCACTAGGAGGCAAGGAACCTTGCCAGCGTGGAGTGTAAACGGTCGTAAGGAACCGAGGTCGGCACGGTTAACTGATCCAAGCTCGGTCAGAAGTCAGCACGGATCGGTTTTCAGATGGTAGCGTAAAAGGGGCTAATATATACCTGCAGGCCCATGGCTTTACTGAATTTTATTTGGGGACAACCAAGTAAACTGAGAACAAATTGCAAACCCAACCTTTCAGGATTTGTTTGTAAAAAAAAAAGAAAATTGATTCTTGATTCTTCTCCTTTACCTTTATAATTGCACAACTCAGAATTCCTTGTTTTAAAAATTATGGGATAGACTTTCTTTTTAGTTGATCATATAAAATCCCTTGTTTTTGTAAAGTGAGGAAATCCGAACAACAGCAACAAAAAAACAATAAGTGTAAAGACTTTAACAAGCCTTTTCTTTTAAACCAGTCATTTTTGGTAAACCTTTGGAGCAGGGTGATTCTTTAATATAGTTTTTATGCAAAAACATTGAAGCTGAGCAAATGAAACACAGCAACTATGATATGGATTGGACTGTAATAATACTAGTGGTCATTTTAAGATTAAACAAAAATAATTTTAAAAAGCCTTAGGGAATGAACTATCACTGTCTGTTAGGCATCTATTAACTGATAATAAATAGGCCAAGTAGCAGATAATGCACTTGGACCCACTTGCTTCATTATTGAGGGTTACTGTCTGCACCAGTACATAACCCCATCACCATAAGCTAGTCCTGCTTTGTGGCAGCTTATAGCCCCTGAAATGATTAGCTCTCAGAACATGACCAAACCTGTTAGCCGACAACTGTAGATGCTGAAGTCAAATGCTGATGTCCCACTAGTTTTTGTTACCCCTGGCAACAGAGCTGGTCAGCTCCGATCAGCCATTTATAATAGTCTGTACTCAAAATAGCTGTGCTTAAGGATAGAGGGTCTGTTTCTGCTCTCTACACTCTTAAGGAAAATAAGAGCCTTTTAAACCTCTAAACCGCTAAAATTACTTCAGAAAACTGTGTCAACCTCGTATTTGCTGTGAAGCAGGTAATGTATGGTAGGATCTTAAAGATAGCTAAATTGGAATTAGAGGAAAGGAGAAAACTTGTAGCATGGCAGCTAAGCATTTAGGAAGATTTAATTTGATGATTCATAACTACAAGCAGCAGCAGTTTAACTACAGAAAAGCTCTGTGTGTGTGCTAACACATACAGACACAAACAAGAGCACACACACAAATCCATGCATACAGAGAGCATTCAAAATCAAAGAAAAACGCTATTTGACTCCCCATGAGTTTGGCTACAGATGCACTAAAAACACAATGCTCTTTTTGACTTAAAGTGATAAAACCACCAGATAACTAACTGCATGAAAAGCGGAATTATTCACAATATTTAGCATGTGAAATTGCAAGAGAACTCCAGGGTAGTGGTCGTGGTCTTTAGTTTTAGGTCTAGACCTTAAAGCTCTGAACACACTTTTTAATCTTCGATCCGATTTTTTTCCATGTTCTACTGACTGCGTATAGAGAGGCACCGACCAGGTAGGGCGAGCAGATCTGTGTATATTTTTTTCATGTCTGTCTCTGTGGCACAAAAAATTAAAACAATTTCCCACATTTCAATTAGACAGATAATAAAAAGTTATTCACATAAATGAATTAATTAAAAAATAAACCACTGGTACAGCTATAAAGCAAAGCCCCACTTAACGAGTCTGTGCACCATCTCTCATGTTCTGTCGTCTTTAAGTACTTTTTGTTATTTCGCAGGACTGATGAACTGCGTTTTCTGTCCCTCCTTGTTTTTGTGAGGCTAAAAGTGGATCACTCCTTCTGTAACTACTACTACATAATTTTTCTGTCCTCCTGAACTCCTATCATGGGTAAAAGATTTTTGTCTTTTTATGTTTTATTGACTGTTTTTGTACAGTCTGTCCTAGAGATGTCCCGATCCAGGTTTTTGCACTTCCGATCTGATACCGACAGAGGCGTGCACAGACATTTTGGGGGGCAGGTGCTCAGGAGGGGGGGAGGGCACTTTTTAGCGCACGTGTAACACTTAATAAAAAAAAAATAAACGCATGTTGAATGAAATTTGACTTTTATTTGTAACATTCTCTAAACGTGAGTTTTCAATGGAAAAAAGTCACATCACCAACAGAACAGACTAAAGCATACTTCTTTCATCTGGCTCATCTCCCTGTTTTCCCTCACCCATCTGTTCTCCCTCATCCTGGTCTTTTTCTGTCTCTGTGTCTTCCCTGAACTCTTCCTCATCTCCTGTCCTGTTATATGTTGATGGTATAGAGCTTCCCTGCTGTGACTGGCTACAATATATTAATAATAACCATCATGACAATAATAATAATAATAATAATGATAATAATAATAATAATAATAATAAAAATAATAGCTTTAACAAATATGCCACATTAGTTTAAATAATGGGCTATTAGGGCAACATGACTGGAAGTCTTGTCACGTGGATATGACTTATGGTAGCCTACAAAATAATAGCTATTTTAATACCTGCTGCACAAACCACTTAAAAATAAAATGTGAACAGCTTTTAAGATTTTTCAATATGATTAACCCTCCTTTCTTGGCATTGTGCTGCAATTACTAAATCAATATACAATTAAGACAATAAAGAGACCAAAATGTGTTAATTTATGTTGCCTAACAAAACCTATACAACAGAAAACGTTTGTCTTAACACATAGATTTGTACAGAAGAGGATTAGGGCCACTGAAAAAAAAAAAAGTTAACTGATTTTTAAATTTTATTTCAGTTTAACATGGGAAAAAAGTCAGAATTCTGACTTTTTTATTGTCAGAATTCTGAGATTAAAGTCAGAATACTGAGCAAAAAGTCAGAATTCTCAGCAAAAAGTCAGAATTATGAGAAAAAAATTAGAATTATGAGATTAAAGTCAGCATTCTGACTTTTTTATTGTCAGAATTATGAGAAAAAAGTTAGAATTATGAGATTAAAGTCAGCATTCTGACTTTTTTCCCATACTAAACTGAAATAAAATTTAAAAATCAGTTAACTTATTTTTTTTTTTTCAGTGGCCCTAATCCTCTTCCGTAGATTTGCAATTGCAAACTCTACCAACATTATTTGTAGCCTATGTGGTCGTCCTCACGTTATCTGTCACTGACTTGGGCTACAGTGTAAAACTTTCAGAATCAGAATCAGGTTTATTTATTTAGTGAAGGAGTTCACAAACTAGGAATTTTTTATGGTACAATCGTGCAACATGAAACATATAATATGGAATAGGTAAATAAAATTATAAAAATATCTAAAAACTGTGGGTATACGTCATGCAATAAAATAGACTAATGTATACACTTAAGATAAAAATATGGATACAAAATATAAAAAGTAAAATAGCATCTTACAAGGAGACAACTAGTGCGTGTTTGGTGCTGCTGAATGAGACATTTTAATGCACAACAAAATGATTCTGCTTGATCTGTATATTACCTGGCTAATAGGGCACGGGAGAAGCAGCCTGTCAGCGACCGTTCCTGCTATCTGAAAACTGCTATGATGCTGCGCATCTGGCATGCCCTGCGGGCGACCGAGCGAGTTCACGTGACAAAGGAAGAGAGAGAGGCTGGTCGGGTGTGCGCAAGTAGGTCGGTCATTTCGGGGCATTGTTTCAGTCGTTTTTAATGGCTCAGGTTTTCAAAAGATCATTTCAAAACCGACCTCAGTAAAATCTTAATAATATTAA